GGGCATTGGCAGGAGCGACCTGCCCTGAAGCTTCCCCAGGGGCTAGCACGTTCAGGCATTGGCAAGAGCAGCCTCCTGGACGGGCCAGCACTATATAAGACTGGCCCGCCCTACAGGTAGGGATGGAGAGACTGCCCAGGCACTCGACGTGCACTTCTACAGGCAGGGAGTAGTCTTCAGCATTCGGCAGCAGCACTCTATAGGAGCGCTGCAGTAGCAGTAGTAGCGTTAGCTATAGTCTTCAGCAGTGGGCGCTAGTAGGAGGTAGAGTAGCGTTGAAGGGAGACAGAGATTGGGCGGAGGCCAGGGATACTTACCTGCAGCGCCATAGCTCCAGCTCGCCATCGAGGTACCTGCAGCACAGCGCCATCATCACAGGTTAGTACCTGGCACTTGGAAAAGAGAGAGAGAGAGAGAGAGAGAAACTTCTTCTTCTTCCTCTTCTCAGTCCACCATCTCTCTCTTACCCTCTCGCTACCTGACTTCACTGCACCTGCAGACTACGAGAGTGAGAGTGGTTACTTACAGAGGATACAGGCAGAGGTTGCAACGGGCATGTGGCCCAGGATCTGATTCGACATTTTTTGAGGCAGGCATTGTTTGGACGTCCGCAAGGGACTATTTTGGACTTCACTATTGCAATCTTGGTCTTCTCCCTCGCCTCCATCTTCGTCCTTCCTCCCCCTCCATCTCTCATCCGTGGTATCTCCCCATGTGTGTGTAAAGGGAGGGACCTTCTTCTGTGTATGTGGCCCCTCCTCGTCTTCTCACATGTGTGATGTATGATGGGATGTCGTGACAGTCCAGGTCAGGTCCGGACTTATCTCAAAGTCTTCCGCTGTACTATCAAATGCCATTTTTCATGTATCAGGATGCACTTTGTCTGTTGATGTTTCACTAACAGTACATTGTCCATTCAGTCCTTTTCATCACATTGCGGATTCTAGGCTGAACACATAGCCCAACTGGCCATGTAACAATACGACTATCTGGCTTTCAGTGTGATTTTGCAATCTGGAATTCTGTCATTTCGCTATTGCTCACATTCCTTGCAATGCGTTCCTGCATACATTGAGAGCACTTAGACACCTGTGGGTCCTTGGTGCATGTTCATCCTGCTTACCTACCTTGCACATACAAGACATCTTTTTCCCTGTAACCATGTTTATGCACTCTCATCATTTAAGTCGAATTAACCCTTTCCTTTCAATTCGCAATTTTCTACTTACACTAATAACTGAACAATCTGTATTTTGGGTGGAACAACAACATTGATGCCTCAGACAGATGGCCTGTCACATGGTAATTGTTACATGCTGAGTCTGCACACGGGCCCCATTTCACGGGCCTGACGATTGCTGAGGAGCCCCCAGGCCGCGTGCCCATCAGACATGCGCCCTGGAGGCCCACGGCGGCCCCCAGACCGCAGGTTTCGACTACAGGCACCATTTATTTATTTATCTATTTACTTATTTATTTGCTGTCCTATTTTTGTCTGCGCCGACGATGTTTCAGACTTGCAGGCCCCAAGGCTCCGCCTTGGGCTGGGTACACAGGAGCGAGGCCGTTTTTAGGCCAGACACGTTTTTGCGCCTTGCTGCATCAGCAGCATGGTCTGGACGACCAGTAGGGGCCCAGACAGAGTGGGTCAGTTGAGGCCAGCACCAGGCACACCCAGCCAGGCCCAGCACTACTTCTAGCTGGGCAGCAGCTGGGCATACACACAGTTCGGGTAGCTGACTTCTTGGGCAACACACTGCTGGACCAGCACCGCACGCTACAGCGCTGCGCTGCGTTAGAGGCAGAGGAGCAGGTAGGGAGACAGGGCGGAGGCCATACCTGCAGCGTTCGAGTACGTACCTGGGCGCCATAGCTGGACTTGGCTCCAACGCCCTGCAGCACAGCGTACGCCGACGACGTCAGTACTTGGCGGCAGTTCCCTGCAGGTGAGACAGTGAGGAGGACGACATCTTCTTCTTCTTCTTCTATCTGTTCTCGCCCTCCAACTCAACTTCTTCCTTCCTTCTTCTTCTTCTTCTTCTTCTTCTTCTTCTTCTTCTTTTTCTTCTTCCAGAGAGAGCGAGAGAGGTTACTGGCAGAGGTCACTACGGGCATGATGCCCGGGATCTGATCCGACATTTTTGCCGCAGACATTGATTGTACTTTCGACAGGGAGACTATTTTGGACTTCGCTATCACGGTCTCTTCTTCTTCCTCGCCTTTATCTTCGTCTCGCCTCTCCCCTGATCACTCATCCATGGTATCTTCCCCATGTGTGTGTGCAAGGAGGGACCTTTCGTCTATGCGTGCGGTCCCTCCTCCCTCTCTCACATGAGTGATGTATGATGGGATGTCGTGTGACAGGTCAGGTCCTATCTTTGAGTCTTCCGTTGCGCTACTTTGTGCCATCTTTGTATGTATCTGGATGTACACTGCTGTTGATGCTTTGCTGACACTGCATTTTCCAGTAGAGTCCATTTCATCACTTTGCGGATTCTTGGCTTCCCGTGCATTGCCCGATTGAGCATGCTTCATAATCAACAGCTACTACACCTCCATGAAACTTTATTGCCGCCTTCATCCCTCTAATCCTGTTTGCAACCATGCCGGCAATTGACTGCTTTTTGTAAAGTCTTCTATGTACACTACTGTCTGATCATCAATAATACATCCCTTGCAAAGCCACACTGAACACCAGGAAAGCCCTATCATCGCCATCTATGGCTAATCGTATATATCAGTATTATATCCCTTTTTCCAGTGAATTACTGCAGGGGCCGAACCAGCTGCCTCACATCACCAGCCACATCGCAATCAGCGGTTTTGCCTCCATCAGCTTTGCCTCTCCCCGATGCATGTCAGATGAGTGGGTGGGGTCCATCCACTTGTCTGTGCCCAGACACAACCTGCTGCTACCCTCAGATGCTCTCCCCTCTCATCTGTCAATCAGTCAGAGAAATCAGCAAACATCTATAACCCTCCGATCTTCTACCCACTTGTAGAGGTAGAGGTCTAGTATTAAGTACTACTAACTCTTGATGCTAACGTCCTCCAAGACAGTAGAACTGGCAGATTTGCACTCCCCAACCTGCAGTCAATCTGCCAACGAAGTGTGGCATTTTATGTTGCCATCAATGATTGCATGCCTTGTGTTTTTTATGTTGGGGGTAAAGTGAGAAGACAAAAGTAGGTGTTCTCTGCAAGCAGAGCAAAGGCACAACAAAAGAGGTTTACAACAAACCCGCAAACTAATCTCACACAGTCAGGGTGTGCTGGGAACAAAGGTCAATTCATTACCAGCACATTGAGTACAACTGTTTTCCCTTTAATGGATGATGATGATATCCGAACTCTAAAGGAGCCAATGGGAAAGCATTTCGACCACCTTGAACGGGCAAAAGCAGATGTAGACTTGGAAGCAGCATATGTTAATACATACTAACCAGATCTGACTTATGAGGAGCCTGTCAAATAAGTAATCAATCTGCCAGCCCTGTCTGCTTGGTGCAGTAAAAGCCTCACAACTTGGGTGCGTTTCTTTCTTTGCACGGATTAAAGACTGACTGGAAACCAACCACCACCCCACCAGACACAGAGAATAGAAATCCACGTCATCTACTTCAGCCTGCACTGTTCCGTTCGGCAATTTACCATACCCATTTTCTGCACACCCCTGTGCAAAAGTTCTAACACCAAGTGCTCTGTGGTTGACCCACATATAGCATTCAATTTGGTCTATGGCGTACAGCTCTACCTCCCCGACTGCCACGAAACCTCCATGGGGTTGGAGTCCCCTTCCACTAGAATTATAATTATAGAATACATATTCCATATCCAAAGATAGATAGTAAGGATACTTGTGAATATATGTCTATAAACATCCATACACAGACAGCTGTCAGCAGCTCAAGAATGATAAACGCCTCTCGAGCTGCATTGATGCTGCTGCAGCCTCTGCTGTCACTCACTGCGCTGATCACTAAACAGTGCTGCTGGCATGCTAAATGCTGTGCTTCCTCCTTTCAAATAATAATGAAAAGGAAAAAAAGAAAAAGGGTCCCTCCCTCATCGATCCTCCTGAGACGGAGGATAGTGCCACAAACACAACACAATCCCATATTACTATGTACACTGAAGCACCATTATCTGTACAGATATATTACAAATGGGGTGCCCATCACACAAGTGTAGGGGAGAACCACTGGCCATAGGGATGGATGCCCCCTACACAAGTGAAGGGGAGAAGCACTGCCGCTCACCATAAAAGGTAGTGATTTCACTTCATTGCACAAGAAAGATTTCGCCCGAGACTTGCACCTCTCAATGCAGCACCTTCCCTGTTGTCCTCTCCCCTCACTGCAGCAAACCACAGGTGATCTTCACTGAGGTCCGGAGCATTGCACATCTCACTTCAGCAACCCACATATGATCTTTGCTGAGGTCCACAGCGCCAGGAGAGTAGCGCGTACTACCATCGGATTCTTGTATAATCTGGCAGCAAATGAATGAAGAACAGTTCCCATCAACACCAAATAGCACGGTGTGTTCTTTCTTGATTTATGTGTGTCATCTTTAAATATAAATTTATAAAATTGCAAAAGCAAACTGATTGACAAGAAAACAAAAAAGTTATTTCATCACACGTCAAAACTAAAAACCTTTCGACTTATGGGCATTTTCCTCCACCCTCTTCAACTCATCAGGAAGACAACATTGTGGGTTATCTGGAAATAATTATGTATCATTACTTTGAGGATACACCCAATGACACAGAGAAAATATGGGCACACAAGAGATCTAATAGACGCTGAAACCAGAGTGCAATCAAGGCCAGAGGAAGAAGGAGGTCAAGTTTTAAATCCCGATTTCGGTGCAGCTGATTACTAGGGGGCAAAGTGGCAACTATCCAAGCACAGCATCTGCACTGGAGAGATTAGCACAATCCTGACATTCGACAGAGACAACTGACACATCTCCCCAGGGAGCAAACTCCATAGCCGTTTAGCTGACAGCCATTGTCATAGAGTGGCTTCCCAGATCCTCAGTGGGTTCTAAAGATCGGTTGTATGAAGTACAGCTAATGTGCCGAATATCACTTTGAGAGCTCGGTAGTAGGCAAGACGAGAAAAAATAAGTGTTTTTTGGAATGATTACTCTAAGGATGGGCAATAGGGGGAAAGGGAACTGACTGAACTTTTGGATGGGCATAAGTGACAGTTAATCCCTTTATGGGAAGCAATCAATGCTCTCATGGTTATAAAGAGTGCTATTATGTTACCTTTCAATGGACGCTGGGCCCGATTCTTGGCAGGTGACGCTCCCCACAAATAGAAAGGAGCCAATAGAAAGGCCCTATGTAGAGATACTCCTAAAGCATAATCCAGTCCTCGTGTGACACCCCCCGGCTCAAAGAAAATCGAAGGCAAGCGAGGTCCTGGCAGGCATGCTGTCGCAGCCAGAACGACGCCCCATTTCATCATTCCACGTTTTTTTGGTGGGTTTCCGCATTGGCCGATGTTCGAACGAGGAAGGGAATTGTCGTAAAGTTTCCCGCGGCATGTTGTTTGGCCCTTACTGTTTTTTCGTTCCGAGCGCGCATTGAACTCCGACACGTCATTTCACCCCACTACAGCACGTAGTTTGGTCCTCTCGTTCTTTTTTAGTCCCCCACACACTTTGTAGTCCGACGCGTCATTTTGCCCTGCTGCAACATGTTTGAAAGGATTCACACGACGGACACCCAGTCCCGATCCCAGGGTCCCAACAAGTCCCCCCAACAAGTCCCAAGTCCCAGGGTGGTCCAGTAGGGTAGGCCATAGGGTTTAGGGGTCCAAAACGTCGCAAATGCAAATTATGATTCCGCTGTTCTTACCTACTAAACTATTCTGCCTTGAACCACTTGACATTTCCCCTGGTGGTGTTTGGGTCCAAAAGGTCCCAACAAGTCCCAGGGCGGTCCAGTAGGGTAGGACATAGGGTCTAGGGTCTAGGGGTCCAAAAGGTCGGTACGTGTCGGTACCGAAGCGTCATACTAGGTCGGTAGGAGTCCGTCCGGTACCCGAAAAGGAAAGTCCAGAAGAGTCCGCTCCAGTCCGACAGTCCCAAGTCCAATTTTGCAGCATGTCCCAGGAAAGTATGGAAGCTACCGGACCGACAAAATGTTCGCAGCAGACAGGCCGCAGCCGACTGGTATCAGTCTGAAGCAGGCCAGGCCAAGCCAAGTCCTATATTTAGCTGCTACAGTGCAGCGGCTCAACACTTGTTCAGTTGCGAGATGCTGAAGCACTGCTGCTGCTTGTGCGTTTAGGCAACTTGGGAACTGTGCGCCCGAAGAAGAAGAGGGTGCACGCTTGTGACTCGATAGCTAGTTTAGGAGTAGCGCAGGAGGACGGCGGCCATAGCCGCCAGGGTGTAAGCTTACCTGAGTGGGTGTATCCAGGGTGACGATCTAGGTCAGAGGGAAGAGAGAGAGTGAGACAGAGCGAGCCAAGTCAAAGAGAGAAGCAGGAGAGAGAGAGAGAGAGAGAGAGAAGAGAGAGCAGCCATAGCAGCTATCTGGTTGAGACCCATTGTGTGTTGTGTGCAGAAGAGCCGCCGGCGAAACACTCTTGTATATCGATAATAATTTCTGGAGACGACATCTTCATGTGTTGGTTGTATCTCGACTTGGCTTCTCACGTGTGAATGTTCATTGATGTACGCGAGGTTGAACTTGACAAGTACTTGGTTCATTTCAGTGGTATCAGAGCTGGTTCCCGCTGCATCCGCTCGGAGTTGAGGCCCTGGCAAGGAAGAAGGACGACGGGGCAAAAACAATAAAAATAAAAAGAGAGTCAGGCTGCCCCTCATGGCCGAAGAACGCACAAGCCTCCGTCCTATGGAGAAAAGGAGCTCCAAGGATGCAGTCATGATCTAGATTTGGAACCACGAATCCAAGAATCTCGTAAGGTTCCAATCCAAATAGGCATATCATCAATGAATCCTTCTAAAGGCAGGAAGCCAACTATATTGGACAGCAAGTGATTAAATTTCCTGTCTATCCCAGACCCACATGGCCTCGTTGTGGCCGACGACATGAGCACCATCTCGGCGCCGGAGTCCACTAGAGCTTTAACTTTCACGTCATTTACAAAGATATTCAAATATCCGCACGAGATGTTTCCAGACCTCATCTTAGTACCCGACCGGGCTCTCTCCACATGTTTGGGTAAGAGTCTCAAACTATTGATCTCTACCTTCCTCCTCTTAACCATCTTTTTTAGTTCCTCCCTAAACTTAGGTACCAAGGCTACTGCCTCCTTCCAGGATAAGGTCATACGGTTTCTTCGAGCAATTTCTTCACCACTTCATCTATCGAGACCCCTTCTTCGGCCTCGGTCCCATCAATCAGTTAGTCTAGCCCTCTTTGAGCCTTCTCCCGCTTCTTCTCTTTAACCTCCTTCTGACTGATATGAGATTCATTCAGTCTTTGGCTTCCAGAACTGTTATCTTGAGCCACCATCTCCGAAGATAAAATGCCATCGAAGGTGATAGCATTAACCCTAGCCTTCTTCTTCTTATCCTTATTGGCCTTAACCTTTTCTAGGATTGTTGATCGCATTCCCCCTTTAACTCGAAATTCTACCTTGTTCCAATTGGCATCACAAATGTGCCCATTGGCGTTTTTCTTCACAATCCCTTCTTCAAGCTCCTTTTCTAGTGTTGGGCACTGAGCTCGAGTGTGGCCTTCCTCGTCACAATAATAACATCGCAAGGGGCCATCTCTCCTTTGCTAGTCTCGACTCCTGTTTTAGGATTGTTGATCGCATTCCCCCTTTAACTCGAAATTCTACCTTGTTCCAATTGGCATCACAAATGTGCCCATTGGCATTTTTCTTCACAATCTCTTCTTCAAGCTCCTTTTCTAGTGTTGTGCACTGAGTTCGAGTGTGGCCTTCCTCATCACAATAATAACATCGCAAGGGGCCATCTCTCCTTTGCAAGTCTCGACTCCTGTTATACTTTCTCCGATCCCGATCCCGTTTTTTATCCCATTTCTTTATTCTTTTTTTCTCCCCCGCCTAACATCATCATTATCACTACTTTCACTCTCACTTTCACTTTTTTCCTTTTGCTTCTCTCTTTTCTTTTTTTCCTTTTCTTCTTCGGACCCAACTATGGTTTGTGTTGCTGGGGCAGGGAGGGTCAACTTCTTGAAGCTACTAAGCTTAACAAGAAGGCCAATAATCTCCTCGGCCTTCAAGTTTCCCCCCGCAGTTGCCTCAGTGTTTCCCTCTCCCGCATTAGTTATTGCTTTCATCTGTTCCAGAGACACTTTCGGTTTGACACCGAAGGTAACTCATGGACCATCTCAACCACCTCTTCCCACTTCAGAGGATAGTGGGCAGTACGGCTTACCACGCTTCTCCTTTCATCCTCTGCGAAGTTAGTTAGCGGGACATGACACTTTTGTGCCTCGTCCAGGAGGGCACTCTCCACGCAACCCTCTCAAATCCTCTAGATTGGTTGAGGGTGGCGTATTTAGAGCGTCATATGTCCAACGAGTTTTACATGGTTGTTGGAACGTCATACTTTGCATATTCTTCCACCATCTTTTGTCTAACGTTTGCCCATGTTGTCAGCCCTTGTGTCGTTTTTGTCACGAACACTCTCATCTTTGGTTCAACATAGGCTAGCAAAGCTTTCAACTTCTACTTATCCGACCAATTGTGACCCATTCCAAAGACATCATAGTCCTCTAAGAACTCCCTAACTTTGGTCTCATCAAAGCAGGGTATTATCCGGAGGTACCTTGGCCCTCGGAAGATCTAGTCGAACATTCATAGTGTTCATTCCGATCTTCATGGCCTCTATCCGGCTCAACATTTCTCGAAGAACCGTGGTCGTTGTCGCTTCTCCATCCCCTGCGGAGGAACTAGCACGGCTTTGTCATGCATTTGGTCCTTTGACCATCCTGTCTGGCGTACTGGTTAAGCTCCTATTTTCTTCCCGAACCTTTTCTCTCTTAGGATTGTGCTTATAATCGGTTCCCAATTTCTACCGTCAGTAAAGCTTTCTCACAAAAGTGGCTCAGGAATCCTATCGAACACAATCGATGTTAAGTCACTAACTACTCTTGTCCCTTTTCTCTCTAATTCTTTCCTTTCTTGGTCAATTATATTATTAATCCAGTTTCGAAAAGACTCACGGTTTGTCCCTGTTTCCCTCAATGAAGGGGCATAGGGTCAGATATCGCACTCATCAGTGTCGAGGAACTTCACCACAAGAATATACGCCTTCCCAGGGGCATGTCTCTCCTCCAAGGATATGCAGCGCTCTATATTGTAGGGAAAAGTTCCTCCGCTGGTAAAAGGAACTAGGGCGTCCAGCGCTGCCGTGATTGTCGAGCAGTAACCAGACATTGCCTGATTCCTAAACTTCTCTTAATATCACCCTCAATCGAACCCTCCTGATTGCTCTTCGCCATTCCAATCCTTCTTCATCTTCGATCCGCCAAATCCTTTCCTGTGCCTACTAAGTCTCCCAGCCTGACCCTTTTTCGAGCATCCTCCTGCAATAGCTTGTCGTCAACACTAATACTCCACCATTTCCTATCCCTTAAGACAGTGTTAAGAATAGACTCTCGGTTCTCACAGTTGATGAAGTTATTCGGGGTGGGAGGACTTGGGAAATTCTCATACACAGTAGGCATCACACTCCAAGTAACTTTTTTACCTTCCTTCTCGAGCTCGTCCCTATATTTGCAAACGTGACTAAGTGCCCGCTCCTGACACCCCGTATACCACCGCCAGATCTTCCTAGTCTTTGGTGTTTATATACGCACGTCATACTTATCGGTCTCTAGGATGCGAGTTACTAACACGTACATTTTCTCTTCTTCCTCGGGTATGGCTAGGACAATGTATCTCTCAATTTCGTAAGGAAATGCCCCTCCGACCGTGAAGGGCCCCAAATCCTGTAATAAGAGGGAGATGACCGAGGAGTTCTTATCAGGTAGCGTTTTTCCTTCAGCCTTCTCCCAAATGTGTTTTACTTCCTAGGAAGTTAGCATGTCTCTCAACCATAATAAGATCCCTTTCATTGTCAGTTGAGGGAAAGGTCAGGAGAGTAGCATGTCTCTCTACCATAATAAGATCCATTTCATTGTCAAGTGAGGGAAAGTTCAGGAGAGGCCCCGTCTCGAACTTCGAACCGGTGCTCAAAACCTTCGAAAAGCAGCGACTTTAATCTTATGACCAGATCGTCCTCTCTCGCCTTGCCAACCGCAGCAATAGCTTCCAGAAGGGACGTTCAATCCCTTCTATCTGTGAAGTTATCCGTAACCAGAAAACTAGGAAGCCTTTCAAACTGCCAGACATGTTTTCCCCATGTTACTTTTTCACGCAAACCTTGAAGTAATATTTTTATTCTAAAGTGATGAAAATACACTTTCCTTAGGCAGTTCAAATAGCCCTCTTCTTCTTCTATTCCTCCCTGTGCATAAACCCTCTTATCAAGGCCGTCGGTCTTGAAAAATCTAACTACTGGAACATAAAATACTAGACGCTCTTCCTTACACACGTCATGCCTCAGTATCTCGAAAGGGTTATCAGTTTCAATCACTTTATCTAACCATCCTCTACCAATGGTCACAATCGCAATTGACATAAAGTCTCTGTATACTATCATTGTTTTAGGCTGCCTCTACTTCCTCCAGCCGGACTATCCACTGGTCATTGTCTAGATAAAATGGTCTCATCTCTCACATGTAACATCACTCTTCTGCCATCCGAACTCTTGCAATTCAGCAGATGCCTAATCTTAGTCCGATTCGTAATTGGTCTAAAAGCAGCCGCTCGCATAAGCTCAAGATAGTGCTCTACCATGCCAATCTTGCCATGCCTACCTAGTTTAGTAACGCATCCTCTCACAGTCCTGATGACAGTCGCTCGTTGGGTTTGGGAACACTCCACGTCACCCTCTTTCCTTCTTGTTTCAACAACAACCTTTCATCCAGGATATACTCAACAACAGTTACCCAACATGCCTCGTAATCAATCCCTCTCCTTGTCTTGACACTCACATATGGCCTTACATCATAGTCATCCGTATCAAGAAATCGAACAACAAGGACGTACAAAATCACAGAGTCGTGCTCACAAGTCAAACACCGCTCAATGTATGGGAAAGCATCACCACCTATGATCTTGGTCAATTGCTCTCGTTACTGCCGACATGGGCTACCTACCAGGTTTGCCTCCTCGGCGCTATATTGATGATAGGTTGCTAGTTCCCACCATCACAGAATCCTTTTGTGTATTGGCGGGGTAGGATCTTCTCGTAGATCCTAGCCAATAAGCTCCAACTCACCTCTATCCCTTATTGACTCAACTGATCCCTCTCTGCTTTGACGCACTTCACAATAACATCCCACTTGGTAAAGAAATTCAGTTCTCGATCAGCCCCTTCTAGGATGTAGGGCCGAATATCATAATCATCAGTGTCGAGGAATCTAGAGACAAGCACATGCACAACGTTGTACCTTTTACACAAGTAATACATTTGACAAACATATAGGGGAAGGCTCAACCACAGGTGATACGAGTTAGGGCTTCCAAGACATTATACTCTTCAGTCATCATCTGTTGCTGGCTTATAGACTTGTCAAGCTGAGGGCCCAGAAGGCAGGTTCCAAGCCCTTGCTTGCAGTCCTGAATCATTTCAGATAAACTCCTGCAAGGGGCCCCTCCTCTCGGGGCTCCTCTAGTCGAAAAGTCCTAACCTGAGCCAGACCTTGTTCAACATACGCTAGATTGTTGCCTAGTCATTGAATATCTTGACCAGGGTCCGCTCCCAGGAACTCACAGAATTTTGAGTCCCCGACTCGCCCCCACCGCTTCGAGGGTCTGGCTCGATATCCCTCTCCAAGCCGAGTGCAATGGGTTGGTGGACTGACAGGCTGTCACTCATTATTTTTGGTAAGTATAAAGGAATCATATAAGATAAAAATGCATTGAGTAAACAACCTTTGTCATTCTCAATCATGCAGTCGAGTAGTCAGGGATACCCCTCCTGCCAGCGGCGACACACATTCGGGTTTATCGCCTGCCCCTGACCCTGTATAAAGGTCAAACTCGAGGTCACCGGAGGCCCTATTATCCAGGAGTCCTTCAAGTAGCCTTGAGTCCTTCAAGGAGGCCAGAAACCAGACTCCGCAAGAGCATGACCAGAGACACGAGACTGAAGAGTAGTTCATTGGGAATGCAGGGAGCAGCCATTGGAGGGCTGCAGTCACTGACAAGTCATAATAATAATATTTACATCACAGTCACTGGTAGGGGTGAGCCTCAATCAACAATAATCAGTGGTACCCCCTCGTGAGTAAGCTCTGTCGTCCGGGACTCCACATCCGGTACACACTGGTCCTCCTCGTCATTAAGAACCTGAGTTGCTATCGACTCTGGGACCACATAGCTAATGTCAAAAGACGTTGCAGGGTCGATCTTGCTGATATGTGCCATGCATCTCGCCATCTCTCGTCTGCAACGCTCCTAAGGCAGAGCCTCTGCAAGCATAATATCGCCCGTAGCTCCAATCAGTATCTCAATCCGTCCCCTCCTGTCGATGTAGACATATGAAACCTTGAGGAAACGTTCTCCATGAAGGGGCTTTCAAAAAGCCTGCATAGCAAAGTCAGCTCCGACCAAACGGCTGTAGCCATTTCCAAGATAGGGGACTGGCCCCTCCCCTCTTGGGGTCCAACATCTGCCTCGGTCTTAGGCTCGTCTGACATATAGGAATCAATCTCCCTCTACCAAGTACCATGCAAGGATATATGCAATCCGCTGCAATGTCGCTCTCCGCCGCCGCCTCTTACCGGTCTCCAATGCTTAGGCTATCATCAACAAACTCGGTCTCTATGGGTGTCCTAGTCAAATTTGTCGCCGAGATCGATGTCACTCACGCTACAAGGGTCAAGGTCAGACTCATCGATCTCCGATCTCTACATGCAAGTCGTGATCGGGATACCGGATCTGGCTATCTTGTTCCTGATCCGCTCATCCTTCTGCCTCTTCCCCTTGCTACGTGCCTCTCTGAAAGGCTCGGGATTGCATCCATCGAAATCGGAAAGTACACCACCAAGCGTTGAAGGGACGCGAGGGAACACCACATGCATCGAATTATCCCTCCAATAGCTCTCCCTGCAAAATATGTAATCTGCAGTTCTGTCATAAGTGGTGCCCTTCACTCCATCCTTCCCTGCCCCCTTTACCGAGTAGGTGATCACCAGCGTGCGTCTTGAAGTAGGGGACTCGTTGGCCCTGACGCCGAAGCTCTGATGTCCAACATGTCGATAGCAGAACTTCTCAAGAAGTTTGCCCCACTTTGGGGTTGTCTCACGTTGACGGGCCAGCTTGGACAATGTTTGCTCCCCTGCGAGCATAAATGCTCCCTCCAACGCTTGGGCCCGGCTGAAACAGCAACTACCAGCTCAACGTAAGGGCCCACCCGAGAGGGCCCGGCTGAACCGCGACCAACAACTCAATGAAAGGGGCCCGCCTGAATGGGCCCGGTTGAACAACAGCGACCAGCAACTCAATGAAAGGGGCCCGCCCGAATGGGCCAGGCTGAACTGCAACTCAATAAAAAGGCCCGCCTGAACAGCAACCGGTAACTCAATGTAAGCAATATCGTGAATGTGTCTCCGCAGAAAGTCGGTCCAAAATACGAGGGCTGGAACCTCCAGTATCATCACAAGGACTGGTCAACAACACATCGCATACAAAGGGAGTAATCATAAAATACCGTATGTACTGGGGCTGGACTGTGCAAAATTGTCTCCGTGGGGACCAATCCGCAACATATCATCTGTGAAGGAAAAATACCATTTGCACAGGGACTGAACTGCAAACGCTGTCTGTGCAGGAAAAATACCACCTGCTCAGGGATTGAACCAACATGCATTATCTGCTCAGAGACTGATCAGCAAGGAATCACATCAACGGGAATAGGGTGCCCAATCATTCCAGCAGCGGCACTCACGCATCAATCCACCAAGGCATACAGCCTCAAACCAATCGGATTAGAAGGGTATGCATTCCCAAACCATCATACCAGTCGGGCGCGCCCCCTAGAATCATCAAGCCAGTAGGGTGCGCAATCTAGAATCATCATATCAACAAGGCACGCGCTATAGAATCATCATACCAACAGGGCGTGCATTAAATGAGCAAACATCAGGCATGGGCGCGCCACGCACCTTCGAACAACCAGTTCGAGCCTGGGCGCGCACTAAATCGACAACTTTTCAGACTAGATATGGTCTGTATGAGTTTGTAGTGATGCCCTTTGGTCTTTGCAATGCACCAGGAGCATTCCAGCACGCTATGAATCGGATCTTCCATGACCATTTAGATAAGCTTGTCGTGGTTTACCTTGACGACATTCTGATCTTTAGTAAGTCTGTCGAGGAGCATGCACAGCACGTCGAGACTGTACTTTCACTCCTGCGACAACACAAGTATAAGGTCAACCTAGAGAAGTGTGAGTTTGGTCGCACTAAGATATCATACTTGGGTCACGAAGTATCCGCGGAAGGGATTAGGCCGGAAGATGCGAAGGTGGCTAGTATTCGAGACTGGCCACGACCTCAAACAGTCACTGAGGTCACATCTTTCTTAGGAATGTGCGGCTACTATAGGAACTTCGTAAATAATTATTCTACAGTCGCCTCTCCTTTGATAGATCTAACTCGACTTGACACGCCGTGGGACTGGAGTGATGAGTGCGAGGGTGCTTTCAAGAGATTGAAGCTTGCACTCATGAATCATGAGGTTCTCATGGTTCCCGATCCTCAGAAGCCATTCATAGTGACCACTGACGCAAGCCAATACGGCATTGGCGCAGTGCTGGCTCAACAGGAAGGGAAAAAGTTGAGACCGATTGAGTACACGAGCAAGAAGATGCCATCGAAGAAACTGGCGAAGTCCACCTATGAAAGGGAACTCTATGCTCTATATAAAGCACTTATCCATTGGAGACACTTCCTTTTGGGAAGGTTCTTCTACTTGAGGACTGATCATCAGACCCTCAAATGGATCAAGACTCAACCGGCTCTTTCTGACGCACTCAAGCGATGGATTGAGGTCATAGATCAATATGACTTCAAGTTTGAGTATCTGAAGGGAGAGTACAACAAGGTTGCAAATGCGCTATCACGTAGGGCAGACTACCTAGGTGCGCTAGTTTCTGACTTTGGCGTATTTGATGAAGTAACTCAATCGTTGGTGGGAGCCTATCAGGAAGACCCTGTCACGATGGACATCATTCGCAAACTTCAGGCAAAAGACAAGGCCACAGAGAGTGAGTTTGTAATGGCGGACGGGCTTCTCTATCTTGATAAGGCCGGAATAAAAAGGTTAGTAATTCCATCTAGTGAACGTTTGCGTAGTTTGTTTCTAGGAGAATTCCATGACGCAACCGGACACTTTGGCTACAAGAAGACGAGTGCTAATCTAGTACAACGATTTTGGTGGCATGGAATGTTAGATGACGCCAAAAAGTACGTAGAGACCTGTCAGGCCTGTCAGCGGGACAAGCAGCGAACTCAAGCACCGCTTGGTTTGTTAAAGCCTTTACCTATTCCCGCTGGTCCAGGACAGAGTGTCTCCATGAATTTCATGGACACCCTAGTGACCAGCAAGAGTGGCAAGAGGCACATATTCGTCATCATCGATCGATTCACCAAGTATGCTAGACTAGTTACAATGCCAGAGACCGCAAGGACTGACCATGTCATCAAGTTGTTCAAGGACGACTGGGTGCGTTCAAGGACAACTGGGTGCGTCACTTTGGTTTACCAGAGACCATCGTTAGTGACAGAGATGTCCGCTTCACAAGTGAGCTATGGAAGAAGACTGCTGAACAGATGGGCAGTCAACTTTATATGACTTCAGGGAATCATCCCGAAGCCAACGGACAAGCCGAACAAATGAACAGAGTTGTACAACACTTGCTGAGGCATTACATCAAGGCCAGCCAGGATGACTGGGATGAGCAGTTGCCTCTCATCGCCAGCCTGTACAACAATGCTGTACACAGCAGTACCGACGTTAGTCCTAATCACCTGCACTTGGGATGGAAGCCTCGATCAACCCTAGACTTCCTCCTACCCGAAAACCGACCCGCTGCAACTCCAGGCACACTCGAGTATGGTGTGCAGTATGAGAAGTTGCTGCAAGAAGATGTCAAGCATATGAAGAAAGCTCAGCAAGCGATGATTGCTTCTGAGAATCAACATCGTAGACAGGTCTCATTTCAGGTAGGGGAACGTGTCTGCGTCAAGGCTAGTGAGCTAGGACAGGAATTTGGAATCTCTCGTAAACTAATGCCTCAGTATTTTGGTCCTTGGGAAGTCCTGGATATAGTGGGGGATGAGATGGATGGTCCCACATATGTCATCCGTGTCCCTGGACACCTACGCACTTACCCTGTCTTTCATGCCTCAAAGCTTGCACCTTTCGCTGAGACGGATCAATTCCCTTCAAGGAGATCGATGCTGCCCCTAACCATGGATGGTCAAGTAGACATCGACGACATTGTGGATCACAGGGACATGCCTATTCCAGAGGAAGACCTCCCAAGCCCAAGAGAGAGTACCGTGTCCGATTCAGGCATCATACGGATCCAAAAGAAGATCGTTGGTTTACCAGAGAGGAACTGATTGAGACAACTCCTCAAGTTGTGGCAGAATACGAGAGAAAGCTGAAAGGGAAGGCGCGTGCGAAGTAAGCATCTCAGCGGACTTTCGAAGCTAAGGGGGATGGAATGTGAGGATTGAGCCCTCAAGAAGGGGCCTTGCCATGATGTACATGTTTTGGGCTAAGGCCCCAGCAAGCCTCATGCCCGCCCTAAGTGAAGGCGGGCCAGCAAATCAACAAGAGCCCTCTGTGCAAACATTTCACGAAGTGGGGTCCATACAGTTGCAGCACGCCAGTTGGTTGGAGTGCACCGAGTCTCGAATCTCTGCAAATGTGGAGATCCCAGGGCCTCTTAGTTAGGCCCTGGGCACTTGAACGTGAGGCTGACAATGCATGCTAGGTATAAAGGCCGAAAATGCCAAAGGGAAATCGGCCCACTATCTAAATCTGGCCGCAGGCCTTGACAAAAGAGGCGCAACTGCATCACCCGCGCCCCAACTGCATCGGGCCTGGTTCCGGCACTGGGGCCCAGTCGCAGGCTGAAGGGAGGCCGCCCACACGCAACACTGGCATATAGGCAAGCAGGGCGAGTGAGCAGGGATCTTGGCCAGTGTGGGCATTGCCGGCATGCTGCGCGAACGCGAGCTACTGTGCTGCGCTAAGGCTGAGGGAGCAGGCCAGCGCTAAAGCGGTAGGGCGCTGCCTGTGAGCGCAGGGCACTGGCGGCCATAGCCAGGCTGCTTGTGTGCGCAGGGGAGGTGAGGGCGAAGGTGGTTCTTCGATGGTGAAGGGCGCTGTGTGGGAAACAAGGGACAGTGTGGGTGAAGGAGGAGACGTACCTGGTGGAGGTGGAGGTCGACATTGGTGTTGACATCATCACTCGCTGGTCGTCAAGTTGTCTGGTTGTTTTCATTGCTGTAGTTGTAGGCTTAGGCTGTAGAGTAGATAGGGCGCCTGGCGCCATTCACAAGAGTGAGCTACATTGGGTTATGTTGTTGGTGTGACCTAACCAAGTGGGGGCAGCTTCCCTGCGCCACGCTGCCCCACTTCCCTTACATCCAACCCTAACATTAAGTGTTGCCCTCAACCACTTAGGTTAGGGTTAGGGCAGCAAAGTCAACTCTCACCGGCAAGTAAAATCGGCTTTGATACCAATGTTATGATCCTGGCCAATTTCGAGATACACATTCATCAGATAACACAATTGTTTCTCTTTTTCTTTGTCTTAATAGCAGCTTTTTTAACTCCTCCAGACATTTTGGAGAGAGAGGATTAGAAGAAGAAGAAGAAGTGAGGAAAAAGAAAAAGATGTACACCAGCATAGACAAATGACACGGCTATTCTTCTTCGCCGAACAATCTCCTCTTCCTTATCTCCCCCTTCTCTAATTCATACAAGAAATAACAATACAACGTTGAATGGCTATTCCAGAATCAATGTCCGAGTTTCTCTTATACTCCCGGCATCACTTGAGGTTCACCATAGCCATGACCGCCTCTTCCTCCCTTCATCATCATAGGCCGAGGCTATGGCGGACTACTAGGCCTTACCCAGATGCCCAAAGGACAACCCAAGCGCAACTCTGCCTTGAAGCTATGGCTGCTTCACTCAAGCCACCATGCGCAACTCTGCCTTGAAGCTTCTTGGTGTGGCTCTCCCCAGTTGGGGACTCCCTGCTGCAGCACCCACCAAGGTGATGAAGATGGCTGCCACCATAGCCAGGTAAGTACCCCTGGCACTCCTCCCCCTTCCCGTCCTTCCTCCTGTCCTTCTCCTTCTCCCAGCAGCACTGCTCCTGGATAGCGCTGCTCCAACCGGCGTTCCAACCAGTGTGTCGCCAAACTTGCACACTGAGAATGAGGCCGGGCTCTTCGCCCGACTGGGAGATATAGCGGCCTGCTTGCCTCTTTGGGCGGTGACTTCCAGGCCGCTCGGCCTTCCAGGCAAACGGTATCTCCTCCCTTCCGGAGGGAAACATCATTGCAGACTCTGATATTGCCCGTACAGGCCCTAGACCCAGACTGGTTGGACTGGTACCCGCCTAGACCTAACCTACAACTACAGGGCCTCTAAAAATGCCACTTTTGTCTTCTTCTGCTCGGCCTCCAGTACCCGCACATCTACCGCTTCAGGGTGCAGTACCGGCCTACCCGCTACTTGAATGTTTTTCCTGCTGCAATCCCTCAATGTCACGGCCACAGGTAAGTACCGGCCCTGAGGGCCCAATGAACGAGCAAGTGCCCTTGCGGGCCACACACACTCTCAAGCCAACCAGCACTCAGACAGGCACGGCCACACACACACTCAAGCCAACCAGCACTCAGACAGACACGCAGTCCAGCGAACGTGCACACACAGACTTAGTAGCAGGCGGGAAACTCACCAAGGCATTCAGTCTATGGGCAAAACTCGTAAATCAGTCGTGTGTTTCAATCCATGTTTGGACGGGTCATCACACTAGTCAAACCATCAGAGGCATGGATCAGCTAAGTAACTAAACAGGCAACCAAAAAAAAAAAAAAAAAAAAAAAGTTCTGACTAGGGGAATGTTGTATATTAATTGCATTACTAAATTTTGTTATTTTGAAGCAGCGAAATCCAATTTTCAAAAACAAAAAACAAAAAAAGTTAAAGATCTCATCCACTCAAATAGACTAGGATCCGGGGTAAGCTACTTGGTGGTCCGGCGGAGGTCTCCCCTGTGCTGTTCTCCACCATGGATGACTATCCCATGTACGGGATGGTGGCTCTGCCTGTTCTTTTGGGACCATTATTCCGTTTCTTCTTTCCTCTCGACTTTGGGAGAGTGTGCACCTCCCGCATGATGATGAGATCCGGAATTGCGAAACCCGGACTCTCAGCGGCAGAGCAGGCAGAAATAGACCGCTGCTTAGCCGAAAAAAAAAAGAAAAAGGACAGAAAAAGAAACAGAAAGAAGAAGAGTTGAGGAAGAAAACTCGAATAGAAGAAGAAAGAATTAAAAAAGAGTTGAAAGAAAAGATGGAAAAAGATTAATGGAAGAATTAAGGACCATAGAGGACGAAGATGAATCTGCAGATCACGCAGACAGACTCGTCAAACGTCGAACTGAAAGAGGCGAAAGCAGTCAGACTGGTGGGTTGAATATACAGGTCAGACCCTTAAATTGGTATGACCAATATAGCTATACTAGTGAAAGGATTGAAGAGACAGAGGAAGAACGGGATACGTTTATCGCAAAATTGGCATCAATTGAGGATAAAGGGAAAAAGAACTCTTGCTGGAAGAAAAACGAACAGAATTGCACAGCAAAATGTTAGCAGCAAAGCGACAAGAGCTGGAAGAGAGAAAAAGACTGCAGGTAGAGGGTGAAAGGTTGCAAAAAGAATTATCAGCGCAGAAAGAAAAGCAAACAGCAACCGAACAGCAACTTACCCTCTTGACAGCAACTGTTCTCCATACAAAGCAAGAGTTGACAGCGATGAACAAGACCTTGCAGAAAGTTGAAGTCCATCAGTATGAATTCGAGGGAGTCTGGAATACCTTCCTACAGAGATCTGCAGCAGAAGTTGATCAACATGTGCAAGCATACATTGTAAAATTAGACGAGCAGATCAGTAAAACTTTGACCCCCGTTGTGATTGAGAAATTGGTAAGTAGCGGTGGAGGAGATGGAGGAGACGAAAATGGTGGTGGGGACGAAGATAAAAAGAAGAAGGGTGCGCTGCAAGAAGACGCAGGAGAAGTCGGGAAGATTAAAGTAAAAGTGTTGTGGACGTACACCGACAAAAAGGAAGAAAGTGTTTTGAATTGGATTGCAGAGATATGTGTATTGGCAACGTATTCCGTATTGGGACAGGGTTCTCATGGCCAGTTCGTGTATGGCCAGAGATGCAATGAGTTTTGCAATTTCCCCGCAGAAAGAAAGCTTATTGTCAGTCTATGGTAGAGTATTCCCAACAAACCCATATTGAAGATTTCTTTAAAGCGGTCCGGGAACGATTTGAAGATAAGAACTTAGCCCGGATAACTAAAATATTAATCTTGAATATCGCAGATAGGAAATGGAAAATGTATCTGCACTTAAATCTACCATGAACGAACTTCTGCAATGCGCTGAACATGGACTCACCCCAATGCAGATTCTTAATAACTTTACTAGAGCACGACCCGATCCTCTCCGCACTCACCTATATCCCCGTACCAAGGAAGAGGGGATGACCTATGAGAAGTTCAGCAAGATCGCGTTAGATCATGCCGGTTTCTTGGCGGAGCAAACTACAGCCATTATTGGAAAGATCTGCAAGCCGGCAAAAAATGGCAAAATCGTACCATCTCAGGAAGTATTCCTGGGAAGGACAACCTTCTTCTGACCTTTGAAGAAGGTGTCGAAACTCTCTCCTACGACCAGAGAGACTATGGTATGGAGGGAGATGCAGACAACAGATCGGTAGTTCAGGAGGGGGACTACGCGGGCGTTGCAGCCCGCGGGGGAGGGCGACAAGGAAGAGGTCATGGCAGAGCAAAAGGAGGCCGCAGTCGTGGAGGAAGCGGACCCGGCACCCAGAGGGGTGATGGCGAAGGAAGCTACTACGTGGGAGGAAGGGGCAATGGTCCCTCGCAAGGTGGCCGAGGACCCAACTCCACATAGGGAAGAGGAAGAGGCACGTGGAACGAGAACTGGGATCGTCCGTATCCACCCCATCCTGGCCTGCTCGAAGGCAGACCTTGGGAAAAGTCGGGAATCAGAGAAAACGTTTGGCAAGATAGAACAGTCGTCGATCAATGCCTCAAATGTGGTGACCCCAACCACATCGTTCCCTTCTGCCCATATACTATAAACAACCAAAAGGGAACAGCCAGTAGAGGTTTCAATTGCCTCTACCGGAACTTCGAATGCAAATAGACTGACATCCTCCAATTCGAAGGTTCCCGTGGCAGAAACTGAAGAGATAAACGATCCCCACCTAGTCAATTGTCCAGAGGCAGTTAGTGTATGTACCTCTCTAGGTGGATCCCTCGCAAGCATGGGTGATGAGTTGGCCACTCGTTGCAAAGCCTGGGTCGAAATGAAAACACAAAAAGGCCAGCTAATTATTGCAGATCTAAAAGTCAATAAAGTAAGAGTAGGCGGTATGATTGATAGTGGGTCAACACGCAACGATCTTAGTAAGAAAAGTCTGCAAAAGTTGTGTCTCGAGCTTAAGGTAAAACAGTTGGAAGAGCCCGTAGTAAGTAAATTAGTGAATAGTAGCAAGATTGTGTTAGATAGATATGTTGAGCGGATTCAAACATACTTTCGGCTTGAGCAGAGGGGAAGGTGGAACGTGTTCTCCACTCTCTGACTCTCTTGGTGGAAGATAGTCTCCCTTTTGACATTCTCTTAGGTACAGATTGGGGGGAAGCTGCAAATGCGGATGTGAAGTTGAGGGACCACGAGTGTTGGCTCCCTAGTCCGCAAGGTGGAAAGAAGAAAATCCGCTTGTTTCATGAATCTGGTAAGGAAAGCAGCTTGGCTCATTGTTGTACGAGTGCCCCCGCGTTCGCCTGTCATATAAAGAAGTATAATCTATTTGATTAGGTATTTGTGGCATATGCGCGGCCAGTAAAGGAAGGGGAAGTTAAGGAGGAAGAAAAATTCCCAGAACTGAAAGAATTCGTAGACGTGGCAGAGGCCCCAAGCGATGTGGTAGAACGACCAATCAAACATCGCATTGAAATTATTCCCGGAAGTCAGATTCCAAAGGGCCCGGTTTACAGAATGTCACCCAAAGAATTAGACGAACAGCGAACCCAGGTCGATGAAATGCTAGAAAAGGGATGGATTAAGGGATGGATTATGCCTAGTTCCTCACCCTATCGTGCACCAGTGCTGTTTGTGCCAAAGAAAGATGGCGGGTTCCGCATGCGTATTGACTATAGAAGATTAAATGACATAACTATTAAAAATGTTGAGCCATTACCCAACATTGATGATTTGTTGGATAGGGTACAAGGTAGCAGGTACTTCACGAAATTGACTTGAAGTCTGGCTACCATCAGATTCAGGTAGAACCAGAAGACCAATATAAGACTGCCTTTCATATAAGATATGGGCACTATGAGTTCATTGTGTTGCCCTTCGGTCTTACTAATGCACCTGCAACTTTCCAGCGGACAATGAATGAACTTTTTCGTGAATGGCTTAATAAATTTGTTGTTATATATCTAGATGATATTTTGGTCTTTAGTAAAAGTTTAAGTGAGCATTGTGAGCACCTTGACTTGTGCTAAATAAGTTGCGTGCGCCAAACCTGAAACTAAACCCGACAGAGATGGAATTAAATCGGAAGACGCAAAAATCGCAGCTATTCGGGATTGGCCCAACCTGCGTACATTGACGGAACTACGGTCGTTCCTTGGGTTGGCTAATTACTACCGTAAGTTCGTAAGGTATTTTACGATAATTGTTGCTCCCCTTCGCAGATTGTTGGAAAAAGAAACTATCTCGAAGTGGGACCAAGATTGCACGTCCTCGTTGATACGTCTAAAGAAATGTTTGATTAATTATCCGATTTTGAAAGTTGCTGATCCTTCTTTGCCCTTTGTTGTTACTACCAACGCCAGTCAGTACGGGATAGGCGTTGTACTCCAGCAAGATGACGGGAATGGATACAGGCCTGTCGAATTTATGTCCCGACGACTGCCTAGTGAGAAAGTTGTCGCTTCCACGTATGAAAGAGAGTTGTACGCACTCCGAGAAGCTTTGGACCACTGGCGTCATTATCTCCTAGGTCGCCACTTCAAAGTATAGTCAGATCATGAGACACTTCGCTGGCTAAAGACGCAGACCCGGATGACACCTAAACTGACTAGGTAGGCTGCGGAAATCGATCAGTACGACTTTGAACTAAAGCCAGTAAAGGGCAAGTATAACGTTGTTGGTGACGCATTGAGTCGAAGATCTGACTTCTTTGGTGCTATCGTAACGTATTTAGACATAGGCATCAATATACAAGACAAGATTAGGAATGCTTATTCCACTGATTCTGTTTATGGCCCTATGCTGAAACGTGTTCAAGAGGCGCCACAAGAGTTTCCTAACTATCGGGTAACCCAAGGACTGTTGTTTGAAAAAACCGATGTGCATGATAGGCTTTGTATTCCAAACAAGGAAGAAATTAAAAGTGTGATCTTAGGAGAATGCCATGATACCGAAGGTCATTTCGGATGGAGAAAAACCTACGCTAATCTCTTGCGTTCTTACATCTGGCCTCGAATGAAACCTGATTGTATTGCATATATGCAAGGCTGTCAAGTGTGCCAACGAAACAAAAGCATCACACAGCCTCCCCTTGGTCTATTGAAACCTTCGCCTATCCCAACAGGTCCTGGAGATTCTGTGTCTATCGATTTCATGGACACGAAAGTGAAAAGCAGGAATGGAAAAAGCCAAGTTATGGTAATTGTCAATAGGTTCAGCAAGTTTGCTGTTTTTGTAGCATTGTCTGCGAAAGCTAAAACTCACTTAGTAATTCGGGAATTTTTTAACCACTGGTAAAGGACTATGGTCATCCCTTAACTATCCCTAGTGACAGAAACTCTCGGATGACCAGTGAGCAACGACAACAACTAATGAATGTCTATGGCTCTAAACTGACGATGTCATCAGGCCGACATCCTGAGACAAATGGGCAAACTGAGCAAAAGAACAAGCTCCCTCAACATACGTTGCGTATGTACATTCGTCCCGACCAGATTGACTGAGATGAACATTTGCCCAAGGTTGCTAGTGCTTACAACAACTCTATGCACTTGACTACTTGCAGAACTACGATGGAGTTGCATTTGGGATGGAGTCCTCTCAGACCTATAGACTGTCTAAACCCGGATAGGGCACATAAACTTCCGCCAGGGACCAGAGAGTTCGCAATGCAATATCAAAAAGATTTAGAAGAGGTAAAGGAGAACATAATAAAGCGCAACATCAAATGATTGATCAGGCCAATAAGCACAGGAGACCTTCTCAGTTTGCTGTAGGTGATCTGGTTTGGGTAAAATCGAAGGAGTTTATCCCAAAAGAGAACATATCTAAAAAATTGTTACCCGCCTACAGAGGACCGTGGCAAGTATTGGATGTGATAGGGGATGTAGATGGACCCTCCTATGTTATTGAGATACCTCCACACTTGCATACCTACCCGGTGTTCCATGCGCCAAAGCTCTTACCTTGTGTAACTAACGAATTGTTTCCCAGTCAAAGGGTCAGTATGAATAAGATCGTTGCTGAAGGTACTATCCAAATTGGACGTAGAGGTAGACCTCGACGACAATATAAAGTTAAATTTGCATATCAAGATCCAAGTGAAGGCTGCTGATTTACTAGGGAAGAGCTAATTAAAACTGCACCGAACATAGATCTTACTGTGAAAGAGCAAGAAGAGGTGTCAATACTGTGGACAGATAAGGGTTTCTCAGAGGACTTCGAAATTAGGCCGGCGAGAGTAAAAGGGCCTTTACGAATTAAACCCCAGATGAATGCCCCAACAGCGATGGGCCCTGTTGGCCAGAACTTAAATTCTCGAGCAGCAACCCAAAAGACAAAGTTCCTAAGGCAAATGTCGCATCGATAATGAAATGAAAAGTCGTTTTGAACAGTCACAAACGGGTCCTTCACGAACAGGTATTGGACACCGTTTTGAAGACTGAGTTAGGTTCATGTCTCCTCGATGGAAAGCCATGTCTGTTCGGCAACGAGTCAAAAGCCACAGTCCCAGTCCAGTCATAATCCCACGAGTCTGTCCTGATTCAGACCAGGAGTCCAAAAGACAGGCCCGATGGCCCAAATCAGCAGCAGACCATGGGAAAAGATTCTGGGACATACACTTTACAAAAACAGGTATTGGGAAGGAGTCCCAAACACTTGAAGCTGAATACAGGCCACGCCAGGCCAGTCCAGCACTATAAAGGACTGGCCAGCCTCCCATTTGGACAGATGCTCACTTCGCATGAGAGTGTGGAAGTGTCGTGGCACTTGTGCGCTAGATGTGTGTGAGCAGCGCTAGGCTGAAGAGCAGCGGTATGTGAGAGGGAAGTGAGCGCTGGCCGGAGGGAAGGCAGCCATAGCTACACCAGCGCTAGTTAGTATAATAGTAGGGGTAGTCAGTAGGAGACACCAGAGAGTAGTATTCAGAGTAGATCCTCATGTGATAGGGAGTGTGCATGCATGATGATTGAGAAAAGATCAGGACTATAGAAAGAAGGAGAGAAGAGAATGATCAAGGGGGAAGGAGTGAGCTATGATGACACCTACCTGTTGAGCGTTGTTGTTGACGTTTCGCAGCTGGTGCTGATGAGCGCCAGGCCTGGGAACTCGTGTTTATTGAAGAAGACTTGTAACTCTGTTCGGCGCTGTACATTTTGGACTCTTGATGTTTTCTCTTTAATCTGGATTTGATAATCGAGTTGAGCTTCTTGGCCCTCGTTCATCTTCTATTGGGCTTTGTGTGAGGCATCGCAATCTGTGAAATCTGTGTAAATGCATGTGATCTGATGCACTCCAGCAAGTGATGAACAGTCGGGTTCCTGGCAAGTGCCACGTCAGCAACAGTGACGCGTCAGCAGTGCCACATCAGCAGTACCACGTTAGCAACAGTGCCACGTCAACAGTGCCCATCTCAGTTCTGGGCATGCCAGGCCAACTAGCCAATGAGTCCATTGCCGAGTACCGACAACGGTTCCAAGCTCAGCTCGCACTTATCGAGGCCGAGGAACAGCGTCAGGCGGCAGCCGAGGCTGCCCGACGGCGGTAGCTGAAAAACAGCGACTTCAGGCCGAAGCTGACACAGATGCCCAGGTCCGCCACAAGGAGGCCCAGGATCTGCTACAACGGCACGAAGCCGCGAGCATCGAAAAGCTAAAGTTCTGGCATTTTGAACCATCTGAGAACCACGAAGACGCGACACCTGAAGAGCAGCATAAGGAATTTCTCGCCAAACTCGTGACCCAGTTGGTTTACACTTGTAACTTGCAGTCCGAGCTGGCGAATCTCCGACGGGCGGTGTGGAACCACAAGGATCTGCATGAGGATGCTACACGGGAACTTGATTCCCGTGTACAGGACTTGCAGCAAGTTGCACCAAGACCAGATGCTGACGAGTCCAGCAGTGCACCCTCTACCCGCCAATTGGAGGAACGAGTTGACCACGTAGTCGCAATACTCGGCGACATCAGCACCTTCGCTGCACCAGCCACCATCAGCAAGCAGCTCGACACCTTGAAGACCGAGGTTCAGCAACTGCACCAACTGCCCAACAGGGATGGCAATACCAGTGCGCAGCACTACAAGATGTCGACATTCCGCATCGTAAAGTTCGATGATTATACGCATCAAGATCCGGTCCCCTGGTGGGAGGGCTTCACGACGGAACTTCGGATTCTTTTCGTCCCCAAGCACTCGTACATCGACACGTTGTTCCTCAACTCAAAGGGCGGATGCCAAATCTGGCTCAGCCACCTGGCAACCATCCACGGCGTCCAGGTCACCGATCTACATAAGAAGATCTCTTGGGAAGAGTTGACGAAGCTATGGAAGAAGCGGTTCATCGTGGACGACGCCCCGACGATCGCCATCAACCGCCTCTTTGCCATGTCCCAAGGCAACACACCGGCACGCAACCGGCTCACGAAATGGCAAAAGATCGTGGCAACGCCCGATCTCGAGTTGCCATTTTCGCATTTGCGCCGAGAATTCTACAACCGGTCATGTGCTGCCTTGAGCCTCGCACTTGGTGATCACGAGCAATACACGACCTTCGCCGAAATCATCGAGAAGGCAAGGGAGATCATCAAGACCAACAAGGCGGCTGCACACGAGAAGTCAGCATGGCAGCCAACCTATGTGGAGAAAGATAAATTTGGTCCGCGTCCGCAGCATGTCGCTGCAATCCAACCGGACAACATTGTGGAAGACCCCACAGCCACCCAAGTATCACGTGAGGGAGATCAGGTGGCCGCTGTCCAACCGTGAAATAACAACAACTGCCGAGGAAAAGGGAAGGCGAAAACCTCGTCGCCAGCCGGAAACGGACACTTGACCGAGGCCGAATACAAGTGGCACGACCAGTATGGCTGCTGCTATTGGTGCAACAGCACCAAGCACAAGACGTCCCAATGCCCGAATCAAGGCAAAGAGGATGTTCGGCCTCGCATCAACTTGGGAAACTGAGTTGCGTGGGATGTGAGGCGACTCCACCTCTCACTCCGCCAGATTCGACCGCCTTGCTAGCGGCCGCCTACACATCTGGGGAGGATGCGAATGTCGCGAATCCTCGATTCACTTACGAGTATTACGCTGTCCACTTGGTCCCACCGACTCCATGTGCAACAACCGACCGCATGCACAGTTTCACCACCATCGGCAACCGATTCGGCAGCTTCGCCGCCATTTATCGCCGAGGATTCGACGTCGTGGTCAAAACTTTAACTCCTCCCGTTGACTTTGCAGACTTCCAATGGATGCCCCTTCCCCTGTCCGATCGATTGCCGACACCGCAACGTGCTCATGGCACAATTGTGGGATTTCTTGCACACTACAGTACCAGCTCCGTTGATGGACGCCGGAGTAGAGGTTGTCGACCTTCACCACTACGTTGCGAAGATCGACTGCAAGTTCAAGACACAACAGTACGACGACATCGATGCGCCATTGTTGTACATACGCATTCAGATCGGAGAGGCGACCTGGACGCTTTGATCGATTGCAAAGCTACTCGCAACTACATGAGCCAAGACTTTATGGTACGCCAGCGTTTCGAGGAAGTCGCAGCCCACGCAAGTCACGTTGGCCGACGGTCACACGCACAAGTCAATCGACCAGTGCATTGATGTCGTCCCCGTGTACTTTGCCCCTCATGCAAGCGAGGTTGTGTCCTTCGACGTTTTGGACACAAAGTTTGACATGATTTTGGGCATGTCATGGCTGCGAAGCGAGGATCACACAGCGAACTTCTGCCGCCGCACCGTTCACGCTTGTGATCGGAACGGAGTACTAGTCTCGTGCCCGGTGCCTCCACCTCATCCTTCGATCAGCTGTCACGTGGTATCCGCCGCAAGCATTCGAGCTTCCATCACCCGGGACGACATCAAGGAGATGGGCGTGTGTTTTCTCCACGCCCTCCCTCCCCATGACATATCATCGACGGACGCATCGACAGATCCACGCATCACTGAGCTTCTCATCGCCTACGACGTGTTCGAAGTTCGGCACAGAGTAGTACCGGATCGGCCCATTCGCCACGAGATCATCCTTGAGGTCGGGGTCGTACCTCCGCGTGGTTGCATCTACCGCATGAGCGAGGAAGAGTTAAGTGTGCTACGGTCACAACTCAACGACCTTCTCGAGAAAGGCTGGATTCGGCCTAGCTCCTCGCCATACGGTGCTCCCGTTCTCTTCATCTGGAAGAAGAACAAGGACTTGTGGTTGTGCATTGATTATCGCAAGCTCAACTCGCAAACCGTCAAGAACGTCGGCCCTTTCCCACGCATCAACGACCTCCTCGAACGGTTAGGCGGCGCCAAGTTCTTCTCCAAGCTCGACCTCAAATCGGGATATCACCAACTCGAGATCCGGCAGGAGGACCGATACAAGACCGCGTGTTAGACGCGATATGGGCATTTCGAATGGCTGGTTATGCCTTTTGGCGAATGCCCCGACCACATTCCAAGCGGCTATGACAACGGAGTTCCGACACATGCTGGATATTCGTACTCATCTACCTCAACGACATCTTGGTGTACAGCCGGAGTTTGGACGAGCATGTGGAGCACCTGCGCCCTGTTTTGGAGCGGCTACGACAAGCCAAGTACAAAGCCAACCGCGACAAATGTGAATTCACGCGGCAAGAGTTTGGGACATTATGTGACGCCGCAAGGCATCCGTCCGCTTGTGGACAAGACAGAGGCCATCCGCGTATGGCCCGAGCCCACCAACACCACGAACGTTCGCTCATTCATGGGGTTGTTGGGCTACTGTCAACGCTTCATCACGGGGTACTCAAAGATTGCCGCACCTATGACGAGATTACAATCGCCAAAGGTGCCATTCGTGTTCGATGACGACGCATGCCGGTCATTCCAAGCACTCAAGACGACCATGCTCATGGCACCCGTCCCTAGCATCTACGACCCCACCCTGCCAACAAAAGTGACAACTGACGCTTCCGGCTATCGCATTGGGGCAGTCTTGGAACAACACAACGGCGACGACGGGCACCCCGTGGAGTATCAGCCACAAAGTGCGTCCCATCAATTCACTTGATCATGCAAGGAAGAAGGAGCTGCTCGCGTTCGTGATGGCTCTCAAGCGATGGCGACACTTCCTCCTTGGGGGTCGTAGGTTCACATGGGTCACGGACAACAACCCATTGAGCTACTACAAGACGCAAGATACGGTGAGCAGCACAATCAGACAATGGATGTACTTCATTGACCAATTTGACTTCACACCGAAACATCTCGTCGGCCTCTCTAATCGCGCAGCAGATGCACTCTCGCAATGACCCGATCTTTGCGCTACGACACATCATGCCTTCACATTCGACGAGGCACTCCAGCGACACTTCATCTTGGGCTATGAGTCTGATCCGGATTTCGGCACGTTATGCGCAGCTATCTTCGGATCACCTGCCGGCCAAGCGATGGCGACACTTCCTCCTTGGGCGTCGAAGGTTCGCATGGGTCACGGACAACAACCCATTGACCTACTACAAGACGCAAGATATGGTGAGCAGCACAATCGGACAATGGATGTACTTCATCGACCAATTTGACTTCACACCGAAACATCTCGCCGGCCTCTCCAATCGCGCAACAGATGCACTCTCACGACGACCCGATCTTTGCGCTATGACACATCATTCGACGAGGCACTCCAGCGACACTTTATATGGGGCTACGAGTCTGATCCGGATTTCGGCACGTTGTATGCGCAGCTATCTTCGGATCACCTGCCGGCCAGCCACTATCGCATTGTCGACGGGTACTTGCTCCTCCACTCGCGAGGCAAGCACTTACTGTGTTTCCCACGAGACCGTCGTCTTCAGACTCACCTTCTCGGCGAGTACCATAACTCCTGACTCGCTGGCCATTTCGGAGTCAATCGCACTGTTGCGTGACTTCGACAACGATTCCGATGGCCCGACCTCATTACCGATGTCACTCGGTATTGCGACTCTTGCGAAGTTTGCCGACGAAACAAGCCCCACAACCCCAATCCCTACGGTGAGTTGCGCACGTTGCCTATCCCACGGGAACCCGGCCTCTCCATTGCCATGGACGTCACCGGTCCGTTTCCCCGCGACCACCTTGGGCACGATGGCATCCTCACGGTCGTTGACCTTTTAAGTACGAGCGGTTTCTCCCTCGCAAGTACTACGCCACGGCTCCCGAACTTGCACGCCTTTTGCACACCGACTGGATTTGCAGCCACGCCGTACCGGAAGACATCGTCAGCGACCGCGATACTTGCTTCATGTCGGCATTCTGGAATTTTCTCATAGTGGAATTCGGCATGAAGATGAAACAAAGTTCGGCTCGGCATCCACAAACGGACCGACAAACTGAGCGGGCACATCAAACCGCTCAAATGATGCTTCGTACGCTCATCCGGCCGGATCAGAAGGATTCGGTTGATCGCCTCCCCGGCATCGAGTTCGCCTACAACACTTCGTTGCATCCGGCGATCGGTGTGAGTTGCACCACGGTGGCCGGAAAGGCCGTATCTTCGCTGATCTTCTCCTCCCACGAACAACCGACATAGACGCTGCTTGCTCCCCCGCTTCCGTCCGGAAGTACAGGGAATTGTTGGCCCGAGCCCGCGCGAACATGCAAAAGGCTCAAGTTCGCATGCAACAGCAAGCCAACAGTCATCGTGTGCCACGTCCCATCTGCGCCGGTGATCTGGTTTGGGTCTCCACGGAAGAGTTTGCACTCAAGCAGAATGTTTTGCGCAAACTACCTCAAGTGGTTTGGACCATGGCCCGTAACATCAGGCCGCGGGCAATGAGCCCGATGGCCCCTCATTTGTGATCAACATCCCCCCGCATCTAACGGTCCATCCAGTCTTTCACGCCTCGAAGCTGGCGACATATACACCAGCTAAGAGCGACGGCTTCCCGACCCGAAGATCGCAAGATCCTCAATTTATGGATGGTCATCAGGAAGTTGACCGCATCATCACGGATCACAAGTGTGGCAGCAAGCCTCGACAGTACAAAGTTACCTTCAAAGCATGCGATCACACTCGATGGATTTCAGGAGCAGATTTGAAAGCATCCGCATCGCTGATCTTCGCTCACTACGAGCGACGAAGGTTAGCTAAGGGAGCTTCACGACCTGCCCCTCCCACCCGGACTTTGGTCCCTCCCTCAGACAGACAGCTTCGCCCTCGCAGGTAAGCTCGGTCTTTCAAGGAGGGGGGTGTGGCATACTACGCAGCCACACGGGCCTGCAGGGCCCGACCAGCGTTCTTAGTCCAAAAGCCTGAAAACAAGGGCCTACATGCCCTGTGTCGATTTCAGCCTAAAAGCCTGAAAACAAGGGTCTGCAGGCCTTGTGTCGTTTTCAGCTTGAAAGCCTGAAAACAAGGGCCTATAGGCCCTATGTCGTTTCAACATAAAATAGGGCCCTCCAGGCCCTGAGTCTTTTCAGCCTGAAACGGAGGGCCATTTTTAGGCCCTTGTAAGATCGACCTGCCCTGAAACTTAGGGACTAGACCAGAGTTTTAGCATAGTCCATTTTTGGCCTGTTTTCAAGATAACCCTTGTTTGAACTTCAACGCTAGGGTCTGCCACGTTTTGGCATTGCAAGAGCAGCCTCCTGGACGGGCCAGCACTATATAAGACTGGCCCGCCCTACAGGCTGCAGACAGTCACGAGGTAGTTCATAGGAACTTCCCAGGCACTTCACATGCAGGAGACAGGAGGCAGTCTTCAGGATTCGGCAGCAACACTCTGGAGGAGCGCTGCAGTAGTAGTACCGTTAGCAGAAGTCTTCAGCGGTGGGCTCTATTAGGAGCTAGAGTAGCATTGGAGAGAGAGAGATGGTTGGTGGAGGCCAGGGAGACTTACCTGTGGCGCCATAGCTCTAGCTTAGTCTTCGATGTACCTACAACAAGGCGCCACCTTCACAAGTTAGTACCTTACTGAGAGATAGAGAGAGTTTTTCTTCTACCTCTTCTAAGTCCACCATCTCCTCCTCACCCTCTCGCTACCTGACTTCTCAGTATCTGCAGACCACAAGAGAGAGAGAGATTGGTGACTCTAGGACTTGACGGCATTTGGATCCAGACTCGACATTAGGATTCAGACATTTGACGAGGGATCATTTGGGACCTGTACCGAAGACTTGGTGTTGACGACATTCCCATCGTCCCCTCTTCTTCCTCTAACCCCCCTCTTCTTCGTCTGTGTATGGTTGGGGACTGGCGCATTCGTCCTGTGTGAGCGCCAGGCCCTTTCACACCATGGAATGATGATGATGGATGTCTGGTCTGCATTGCGATATTGATTGTTCGGATCATTGGTATTTAAGCCTTCCGCTGTGCTATCTTGTACTTAGACAGGTCGGTTCTTGTTCTGGTCTGCACCTTTACAGTATGCAACACACATAATACAAGATAACGCAGCGGAAGACTAATATACCAATGGGCTGAACAATCAATGTTGCAATGCAGACCAAACATACATCATCATCATTCCATGGTGTGAAGGAGCCTGACGCTCACACAGGAAGAATGTGCCAGTCCCCAACCATACACAGACGAAGAGGAGGGGGGTTAGACGAAGAAGAGGGGAAGATGGGAATGTCTTCAACACCAAGTCTTCGGTACAGGTCCCAAATATACCTCGTCCAATGTCTCAATCCCAATATCCAGTCTGAATTCAAATGTCGTCAAGTCTCAAAGTCACCAATCCCTCTTCTCTCGTAGTCTGCAGATACTGAGAAGTTAGGTAGCGAGAGGGTGAGGGAGAGACGGTGGACTTAGAAGAGAAAGAAGAAGAACTCTCTCTCTCTCTCTCAGTCCGGTATACCTCGTGACTGCCTGCAGCCTTCAGGGCGGGCCAATCTTATATAGTGCTGGCCCGTCAAAGAGGCTGCTCTTGCCAATGCCAAAACGTACCAAAACGTGCCAGACCCTGGTGTTGAAGTTCAAACAAAGGTTGTCTTGAAAACAGGCCTTATGAGGGCCTGAAAATGGCCCTCGTTTTCAGACTTTTAGGCTGAAACGACACTGGGCCTGTAGGCCCTCGTTTTAAAGGCTTTCAGGCTGCAACTACACAGGGCTTGTAGGCCCTTGTTTTCAGGCTTTCAGGCTGAAAACGACACACGGCCTGTAGGCCCTTGTTTTCAGGCTTTCAGGCTGAAAACGACACAAGGCCTGTAGGGCCCTTACTTTTCCTTGTTTGGTCGGGCCCTCGACCGTGTGGATGCGCAGTATGCCACACAGACTCTTTCCATGTAGGAAAGAGCTCGCTGCCTGGGGGCTCATTCAGGTACTTGCCAGTTTGTGCGGCAGCGCTGCTGGAGCATAGGCTCGCGTGCTGCTGTGCGCTTTAGGGCAAGGTGTTGTGCGCGTGCTGCCCTCAGCCTAGCCTCCATAGTTGGCTGGGGCTTGGACTACAGTGAGGCGCAGAGGTGGTCTTCGG